TGTACTTGCAACAGTGTTACAATAACAACACCAATAATAGCATAAGAATATAGTTAGTGATAATTTCAGTTGCTGTTTTGTCTTATTGCTTTGAATACTATATACTTTAAATTAGTGTGTTTTTAGTTGTTGTGTTTTAAAGTCACTTGGAATAATTCTCTGTATGGTTATGCCACCAACTTCATATACAACTAAGTTCATTTATTTATTTGGGTTTCACTTTTATGGGATTGTATTTTGGTGTTTTGACTTTTTTGAGACATAGTCTCACTCTGTTGCCCATTGGCATTATCATAGGCCACTGCAGCCTTGAACTCCTGCGCTCAAGCTGTCCTCCTGCTGTGGCTTCCCAAAGCACTGGAATTACAGATGTAAGCCAGTGCACCTGGCCTGCTTTTAAACTTCGTTTCTGTTTTATAATAATGTAAATGACTTTATATGGTTCCAAATTCACATCTACAATATAGGTGTTGTGAGATACCCACATACTGTACTGTTCCTATTTTTACTGCTCTGCTCCCTTCCTCCTTTTAGGTAACCATGTTTTTTTTTTTTTAAGGTTTTAATTTATCCTTTCAATTAAAAAATAGGTAAATATCTAGATGAATGGTGGCATACTATACTACATGTTTTTTTTCCTACTTGCTTTCTTCACTTAACAATAAATACTGGAATTGACTGTAAAGTACTTCATACGTCCCTCATACTTTTTGAAAATTGTATAGTACTCCACTGTGTGGATTTACCATAATTAATTCAACCATTTCACTATGACAGATATTTGGATTATTTCCAGGCTTTTGCTATAGCAGTGTTTCAATGAATAACTTCCTATATACATACCTATTTTCATATTTTTGTCAGTGTTGGTCAGATTCTCAGAAGTGATATTTGCTAGCAAAAATGAAATAAAATAAACACATATGTAACTTTGTTATATACTGCCAAATTCTCCCTTTTTGGGGTTTTTCCATTTTCTGCTCCAAAAAGAAGAATAAAGAAAGAAAGAAACAAAAAACTGCCTTTTTTTTTTCTACAGGAGCCTCACTCACTAACAGACTGTTTTGTTAAACTTGGATTTTTGCAAATCCAATGGATGAAAAATAGTATCTCAGTGATTCTTAATGTGCATTTCTCTTACTTTGAGCAAGGTTATGAATCTTTTTATTTAAGAAGCATTTCTTTTATTTTTTTCTGTGTTTTGTTTTGTGTTTGAGACAGAGTCTTGCATGTTGCCCAGGCTGTAATGCAGTGGTAAATTATGGTGCACTACAACTTCAAACACCTGGGCTCAAGTGATCTTGTCTTAACCCCCCAAGTACCTGCGACTAGAGGTGTATACCACCACACTCAGCTCTTTTGCTCTCACCACACCCAGTTCACTTTCTTTCCTTCTTTCTTTTTCTTTCTCTTTCTTTTTTTTCTTTATTTTCCTTTTTCTTCCGTTTGTTCCGGGCTTTGCGTTCCTCTTTCTTGGTTTCTTCTTCTTCTTTTTTTTTTTTTAGGCAGGTTCTCGCTCTACCTGGCTGGAGTGCAGTGGTTTGATCATGGCTCACTGCAGCCTGGACCTCCCAGTATTCAAGTAGCTGGGACTACAGGGGTACACCACCATGCCCCACTATTTTTGTATTTTTTGTAGAGACAAAGTCTCACCATGTTGACTAGGCTGGTCTCCAGTTCATCTGCCTGCCTAAACCTCTCAAAATGCTGGCATTACAGGCCTGAGCCACTGTGCCCAGCCCCATTTCTTTTTCTTGAAAATGTCTGCTAATCCCTCTAGTCGTTTTGTTATCAGGTTGTTAGTCTTTTTCTTCTCTGTTTATGGATAGGCTTTACAGTTTGCTTGTGGTGTTTTTGTTTTGGCTATAGAAAAGCTGTATTTACCAAGTAAGATTTACTAATATTTTCCTTCATTGCATCTGGTTTTGACCATTGCTAGGAAATTTTTCTTTACTCTCTAATTGTTGAGGAATTCTTCCATAATTTTTTCCAGTATTCTTATAGATTAAATTCTTCATATTTAAATATATGATCTTTCTCAGTTTTATTTTTGGAATAGATAAAATTTATCCTTTTCCTTATGAATAAATATCCAGTTATTTGAACACCACTTTGGTTTTTTTTTTTTTTTTTTTTTTTGACAGTGCTCACTCTGTTGCCCAGGCTGGAGTGCAATGACACAATCATGACTTACTTCAGCCTTGACCTCTTGGGCTCAAGCGACCCTTCTGCTACAGCCTCCGTGGTAGCTAGGATTACAGGCATGCAACACCATGCCTAGCTAATTTTAAAATTTTTTGTAGAGACTGGATCTAGCTATGTTGACTAGGCTGTTTTCAAACTTCTGACCTCAAACATTCCTCCCGCCTTGGCCTCCCAAAGTGCTGGTATTACAGGCATGAGCAACCGTGTGTGGTCTTGAACCCCAATTATTTAAAAGTCCATCTCTTCCTCACTGCTTTGAGATACAGCTTTTATTTATACTAAATTTCCATATGTACTTGGGTCAATTTCTCATTTTCCTATTATGTTTTATTGGTTCTTTATTCATGTGCCTTTGCCAACTATTAAATTATAAAGGTTTTATAACATTTTAATATCTGTTATGATTGTCCCGTCCACCCCCGGCAAAATCTCTTTTTCAAGATTTTCTGTTTTTCTTGTTCCTTTTTCTAACTGAATTTTATAATAAATTTGTGCTTATAGCTGTGTTCTTAATCAGGGTTGTTTATCAGAAGCCCGTTTAGAGTTAAAGAAGAAAAGAAATACTTGACTCCCACTCAGACATAGTGAATTCTGGACACTGGGGACATTTAAATTCACATAGTGAATTCTGGACACTGGGATAATTCTGGACATTTAAAACAATCTCTACAGTTGATTCTGATAATCCCATTTTTAAAAGAGGCTTGCTTATAAAGCATCATACTCTGGTTTTAATTCCATATGATTTGTTTTCCCTTATGGATTCTGGCGTATAGTTAATGACTCCAGCATCTACTTTAAGCCAGATTTCTCTAGTCCTCTTTCACTCCTTCCTCTTCCTTAATTTTATTTTCAGTTAGTCACCAAACTGAAATTTTACCTCAAAAATATCTGGCTGTAAATCTCCAGTGATGTCTTTCCATCATTCTCACAGACTGTTAAGCAATCTCTTCATACTGCAATCTATCATTTGTACTGCCTATACAGTTATTGTTCCCTCAAAACAAGGTTGATCATGCCACTTCTTCGCTAGCCTTTGTTGGCTCTTAGGATAAATTCAACCACCTTACCATGGCACTTAGGCCTTTTACTCTCAGGTCTCAGCCTTCATCTTGGTCATGACATCCCTATCATCCCTTTATCTCTGTCCTTCCTCATACTGAATATTCCTGCTATAAAGAATTTCTCACTAGCAGATGGACACCAGATCTAGTATCTTTGCATATTTACACTTATTGTTTCTTTCACTTAGAAGACCATCTCCTACCCTGAACTTCTTTGCCTGGTAAGCTCTAAGTGTTTGAGATGCAGTTCAAATGGCATCTCTTTGATAAAGACTTTTTAGGTCTCCCAGTGAGAATTAGTTGCCTCATCCTCTTTATTCTCACAAAACTTTATTATTTGTATCTTTATAATGTGATTTATATGTCTCTAATCTCCCAGGAATTTCACACTTTCTACATCAACCAGAATGTGAGCTTTTCATGTTTTTCCAGCCTCTAGCATAGCACATAGCATAGAGCAAGCACTCAAATGTTTGTTCAATGATTGAAAACAAATAGTTTCATCAGTCTGTAGTGATTGAAACAGAAACAAGATATGACAGCGGCCAGCTTGTTATACTGTTGAGATCTCTCGTTTGTTTTTCTTTGTAGTCAGCCTTCCTAGACTTTGTTCTCTGTACATGGCAATTCCTTACTCTTTGAAGAACCATCTACAATACCCATAGTAGTAAATTAGGTAGTTATCCAACTCTATCTCTGTATCTACCTATTTAAGAAGTTCTGTCTTTGCCCTAAAAACAGATGCTTCTTTGTAGAAGGAAGTGCAACAATTTAGTCCATATTGGTGGCATAATTAGCCTGTGGGATGAGTAAATAGGTATAGAATTTCAGAGTTAATTCTCACTAAAATTGGAAAAGATCTGCTTGATCATTAAATTCTTTCACAATTATGTACATGATGAAATACTAATACAGATGATGATCTTGGGTAGAAGACTAAGTGCTGTTTGGAGTTAAATTATTTTATAACTATAGCAATTATTTTCTCTGAAAATTTCCCCCTCAACTGTATATTATAATCTCTGAAATGATGAAGTATGATAACATGAAAAAAGGGGAAGAAATCATATTTTAAAAACAATTTAACAACAACTTCTTAGTAAGAAGGTATCAAATACTTGGAGTAATCCAGTTTAAAATTTCTAGGACATCATTTCTTTCTCAAGAAGAATCAGTTTGAAAGTACTGACTAAATTGAATAGTATATCTGAGTTACCAAATAACATTAAATAATTTTAAACATATATTTTAATATAAATTAAAGCTTTTATTATTGTTTCATTGAAATAGAGAAATTCGTTTTATGAATTTGAGATATCTATGTTAGTTTTTCATTTACCAACTATTTTGCTAATTATTGATTTTCATATAACTTCACCATTGACGATGTCACAAATATTTCCTGAACTATATAGAGCCCCTCATAATAAAAATGTATTTTAAAATGTTTTAAAAAATACATTAAAATCAAGCACTGTTACCCCTTTTCTCCTTTTTTCCAACCTTTTGATGATGATAAGATTTATTTGGTTACAAGTTACTTCCTTGTACAATCAAGTAAAAGACAATTTTGGGATGTATATGGCTTGAAATTATTTATACATAATCTTGTAAAAATTTTTGAATTATGATTCTAAAATTACTCAGGGGAATATGAGTTTTTATATAGTAGTTACTAACTTCCATTACATATATTCTGTTTTTTTCTGTTGATTAGACGTATTTCCACAATTTAAATTAATGAATTTTATTACTTTATTTTTTTCACAGGTTTCTTTTCTAAAATCCAAGCAATGTAAATTACATACCCTTATGAAACCATTGTTTGAGAAACCAATGTGCTATCAGCAATTCCAGTATTTCAAAATATATTTGGAACCAAAAATTGAACCATGCTTTGCAGTATATTGTTTGAAGTATTTAAGCAAAGAATATATTCTTAATTATTCAAGTTACAGTGTGCCACTTTATTTCAAGCAAAGTATATTTTAGGAGAATTCTTTATGAAAATCAAGATAACTTGAATCTAACACTTTTTTCTTATCTTTTCAAAATTATTTTCAACAGTATGCTAATGATTAAAGTGTCAGAAATAGATTGTTAAAAATACTAATATTCAATACTTTATGCATAGAAATATCAGAGAATTCCATTTTTTAGTTCCACATACTTAAAAATATTATTTATTTGAGTAATAACCACTATTGTAGAACAATGCATGAACTTTTTTGTATGTGACTTGGGATAGAAGTCTTAGATACTAGCATTCATACCTATATTTTAATCTATGTTTTTCTTCTGGAACATTATTAGTAAATTTTGAGATTATAGAACTGTTGACCCAGTCGTACATATACAGAATGCGGCCTCCGAGTTAATTAAATATGAGTTAATAATATATTATAAGGAAATTATTGTCCTTATTACAGTTATTAGGTAGTTACTCAAATTATAGCTTGAAAGGAAGGCAGAGCATGGAAAACTCAGGATTAAATTATGCATTTGAACCTTAGGCCAGTTTTTACTGTAGAGATAGTTTGCTGGTAAAAGAGAAATTGTATGTCATTGAAATTAAATGCTTTTCTGGGGATGGAAGATTCCAGTTTTTAATGAAATTACTGAGTGTGGTGTAGTGAAATGATTAAAATCTGTATTCTGGGAATGTGGCAGGGAAAAAAAAATCAATAAGTGCTAGCACAGCTTTGCTGCTCAATGTGAATCCTGAGAATGAAATAAACTACTACAAAAATAATAATTAAAAACATATCAGCACATTAATTTATTTAGCATCAGTCTCCTGAGACATCATATTCACTAATTTTTAGCATACATTTTACTATGTAATGAGCAGCCTTCTTTTCAGATATCCCTATTAGACAGGCAGTATTTCTGCCCTTCCCCCAGTGCTCCTGCATTGCAATCATTGTACTTGCACTTATTATGTTACAAATGACCGAGGTAAGGCTGACATTCTCAGTGCATGCAAAAAGACCTAGTCTGCCAAGCTTTTTTTTTTCCTAATGAAGCAGCTTTGTGAAATCTCCCCATGTGTTAATACTAATGAAGATCCTCCAGCACAATTAAAATCACAGCCAGTAGCTGAAGAGGAAACATAAAACAATAGCATCTTTTAAGATACATTTATCCACATATGTATGTATAAAATATACACAGATGATCAAATTATTCTCTGATAGCTTAATTTTTACTTACTCTTCATCCTCAAAATCAAATTATGCAATTTTTAATTATATGAACTTTGAGATTTTCTTGTGTTCTGAAGGGAAAAAATGGTACCTCAACGAACTTCTTAAAAAAATTACGTATCTTGTTGGCTTATAAAGTGTTACCAAGATTAAGGTTTTTTTTTTTTTTTTTACAAAAAAACTGTTTTTAGGAATCTAGAGGATGGGGTGCGGGAGGGAATGGGCCATATTTTATCTTTAACTTGACTGGTTGCAAGATTTGGGAATTGGGGTTGGGGAATGGAAGGTAAAAACAAAGTTGTAAGAGATTCTGGGGATAGACATACAGGATATAACTGCATGTGTAGTTTAAAGGAGCACAGGGCTACCAGTCTTATTCATAACTTGATTTTTTTTTAAAGTGCTCAGTGGCTACAATTTGCTATGCTTTTTTCTAACCTCTCAGAAACTGGAAAAAAAAAACTATCGAGATTACCTTTTACAGTGTGTGCAACTTTAAAACCATTTACTACTTTAACGCCTTTTATTTAAATTTTAACTGTGCATAAACATTACAGCCAGTTTAACTTATCCGTGGAAAGGCAGTAGAATTTTACCCCGGGACCATCTTGCATCCTGCTTTTTGAGTTTTAACATCCGCAAAATCTCGGCATATTAATTTAGTTGATTTGTAGAATTCTGAGTTTAGGAACAAAAAAAGTTTAGGTGGAGATGGTTGACCTATGCTTCCTACTCTCTAGTTTTTGTTTTTTAAAAACTAAGCTTTAAGTCCTGTTTTCTGCGCTGTCTTCTTTAAAAGCAAAACAAAACATTTTAAGTTTCTTAACTTTTTCTTGGGACAAGGAACCTTGAAAACTCAAAGCTACAGTATTCTTGGAAGGAAGAAGCAACCCCCTCCCTTGGCTCCTTTAGGAGCTGATAGGTCATTTATTATTGGAACTGAAATGGTATAAACAATTCTCTCTCTTTTTTTCCCTTGTTAACAGCAACTTTCATTGTTAGAGAGAGGAGAGAGAGAGAAGCCTTGTTGGTTGACGTCACTTGGTTCATGAAGCCTTCGCCTAGAAGTGAAGCTGCTGAACAAACCTTGAGAAGAATCATCTCCTGCTTCAATCTGCTGCTGGATAGGAACTAATCAGAGAGAGGCGGAAGACGGAGAAGGAGGGAGTCAAAGGCTTTCCTGATCACAAATCTCACCTCCACTACAACTCTCTTTATACTTTTCTTGCAGAAATAATAATAGAAATAAGGAGGTGGTGAGGTTTCCAAAAATCTTAACCTTCAACCATCTGGGGAAAAGGCAAAAATTCCATTCACCGCAACTCTCAGTTCGAAAGTAAAGGTGAGTTTAAAATCCTCGGGCGTGAGGGGTTCGGGTGAGGATGAAAATACCCAGTGTTACAAAGCCAGTGGAAACAGCAGCGGAGAAACTGCGCTCGGGCGAGCGGGGGACCCCGGAGTTGCTGCGTGGAGGCGCTCGCCCCGCCGCCCTCTCGCCCTCCGCCGCTGTTTACCCTCGCCGGTCGCTGTGGCTCTTTGTTGTGGTGGCCGGAAGGCTGGGGTGGTTCTCGGGGTCCCGAGTGGAGTTTGGGGGAGGAGGGCGCGGAGATGTGCGGTCCTGGGTGGGAGGTAGGGAGTGCGGCCTCAGGAGAACGTAAAGTTTATTCCTGGAAGCCGGTGCGGGACTTCGCTGGAGTAGGGCCGTGGGCAGGCTCCCAGCCGGGCAGGCGCTGCCGCCGCGAGTCCGCCGCCTTTGTGCCGGCCGCCCTGGCTTCGCGTCTCCTTCCTCTTCCTCTTCGTCTTCCAGCGCTCTGGTCGCCGTCAACAGTTTTGCTTCTTAAAAAACCACCTCTGTCAGCGTTGCGATCGCCGTTTCTACCCCGGGATATCCGCTGCTCCCCCACTCCCGGCCGGGGTAGTTTCTGGATCACTCCCCCCCCACCCCTGTCCGCCTCCTGCTGCCCTTTTTTTGCCTCCGCCCCCTCTTCCCCCTCGGACTGTGGAGCTGCGTCTGCCACCCCCAATCCCCGGCTCGGGCCTCTAGCTCTCCCGTGTGTAGCTGGAGGCTCTGAGTTTACTGAAGATGAGCGGGGGTGGGGCTGGGGCAGATGGGATTGGGAAAAGACCTGGATACCTGGGAAGGTCTCTGTCAGGACGCAGAAGGTTTGAGGAGCATTGCTTCTCGTACAGTAAGGTCTGTGCCTCGGTCTCATCTTTTAGCAGTTCTTCCCCTGGAACGACTGCCAGCTCCCAACTCCTCTGCTTCCCTCTTTTAATCTTCTTGTCGCTACCCCTCCCCCCAGCCCCCCACTCAGCCCGGTTGCCTTTCGCGGCTCCCTCCCCTTTAAGTAGTTTCCTGAACCCCAGAATTGGGATTTGGGAAAGGGAAGGAAGTGTTTGAAGAGTCCGAGCTGGCCCTGTTGTTTGGGAGATTTTCTCTTCTTTTCTTTCTCCCTCTGTATTTATCTTTTGTCTGTTGCTTCCTTATAAAGAGGGAAGCAGCTGCTGTCCTTGACCGAGTTGTTGAAATTTATCCCTTTGTGTATATTACAATATCCTCCATTTTTTTTCCTGCCCTCTAAACAACAAGCGTTTCGCCATCTTGGGCAATTTTATTCCCAAGTCTCTCTCTCTTTTTTTTTTTTTTTTGTTTTGAGGAAAGGAAAGAAGCATTAGGAAGGCAAAAACTGTGTCTGCATAAGGCTCAAAGTTTAGGAAATGTTCAGGGGGCCCAGTGACGTCATGTAAACTTTATGGAGAAATTTTCCCAAGAGTAAATATTTTGCTTAATTTTTCTCCTGTTGTATAGGATTGTGTAACTTACAGGTTGATGATAGGTTGTGTGGCTTATTTTTGTGTTTTGCTCTCAAAATGAATATACGAAGTCTGCATATTGTATGTTCTGGTAACAGGTGGAAGATTACGTGCAAAAAATGGTAAAAAAAAAAAAACTTTTTGGCGTCATTTGTTATTTACCTGGTTTTTGTATACATTTTTTTTTTTTAATTTAAAGCTTTCAACTATTATCTGTAGTGAGTGTATTCCCTTTCTTATTTACTCCACTCTACCTGTAGATTTTTTTAAAAATTAGCTTGGTTAATATTTATGTATGGTTATTTTAGATTACCTGGCTTCCCCTTTGTAATAAAATGTACAGGGTTTTTTTTTTTAATTTATTTACATTTTGAAAAGAAATGACTGAATACCTTAAGATAATGAATACTTTAAAATTTAGAAGCAGATACTAAGTCAAACAACTGTGGAGTATTTAAGAGGCATAATTGATTTTTAAAAATATTTTATAATCTCTAGCTATAAACTCTTTGTCAGCCATTATGAATAGATAATAAAAACTAGCACTGTTTTAATTTTCTTGTCTAAAATAGTTTTTCGCCTCAAAAAAGTTGGTTTGGTCACATGACCAAACTTAATGATACACTGACTAGTATATAAATAAGAGGCACTGTACATTGAATGGGAAAGTGCAATTCTGTCTCCTGTAGTCGTTTTCAGTCAGCATATTTACATCTCTTCTAACAAGGACATGAAACTGTCTGTATTTAATTTGCATTCTCTTTGTCTTCTGGGTTGGGGGAAAAACACTGACTACAATTAACTTAAGAAAAGCTAATAGAAACAACTCTGAATACATTGGAAAGGTTTGTCTAACACAAAAATTTATGTTCTATATGGTATGTTTTTATTTCTGTAGCAGTCTTTGGTGTTAACTATTTATCCAGATATTTGCTTCATGTAAGATGCAATATAGAAAGCTTGACTGAGTTGAATGTCTGCCATTTATGTGAATTGTAGGTAGGTGAAAAATGTTTAAATAGTTAAAACACATAGAACAGATGGTTCTAAATTATACATGCAACAAAGGACTAGAAGATTTGGCAGATTATAAATGGCAAGCAACAGAGAATAAGCAGTTTAAGAAAATGGTAGTTAAGAACATTTGATGTCTCACACCTATTGTAAACACTGTACATATTATTGTCACTGTGCTGCATAATCAATAATTTGGACAACATTAAGACACTTGTATGGTTCAGATAGGAAAAAGTAATATTTTTACAGGTATTTGAAAGGAGTGGTTGAATTGAAAATTATTTTAAGCCTATGATGATGAATACCAGGTTTTTAAATGAAATTAGATTGTATGCTTCAAAAATACAGTTATTTATGAGAACTTAATACTGTGTTCTTATAATGATTGGAGAGAAATAGGAATGGGTACATATTTTAAAATCCAGATAATAGTAGCTTCGCTGTTCTCATATGTTAAACTAGTGCCTAAGTATAGTACCATTTACTCTTAGGAACACTAATGAAAAAAATACTTCTAAACTCTTCATTTTTGGAAATGCATTTATTGGAATACTGCTTGTGTCATTTATTAAATACTTATTAAATGAAGGAAGGATATATTTTAGTTTTAATTTTTGAGGTTTATACATAACATGATACTGATTTTACTTGAATATAGTTAGTTTACTTTGAAATTTTAGAATAGATGGATTCTTACAGTTTTGTTTTCTTTCTAGAAGAGTTTCTAAGTAATTATATTTAGCATTTTCAAAAAATTTGGAATAGCTTAAAGTATTCAACTTGGTAGAAATTTGTTTTTATTTTTTATAAGCCATTCATTTAAAATGCGCATAAGAGTGTAATGGAAACCTTAGAATTTTAATTCTGTTGCCCTTTCTCCCATTTCTTTGTTTGCATGTTTATTATAGAACTGCAGTGTAAAGGAGCAGATGTTTTGCCAAACATCCTGATGTGTTGCTTTTTCTTATGGGAGTGCATAACTGTTCCTTCTGATGCATCAACTTGACAGCTGGTTGATTTCATGGAGCTGCTAAGAAGCCATTAGTGGTGTCATTGAATTGAAACAGAACAGTCACTCCCAGCTTGAACTGCAATTGTTAATGTCTTTGTTGCTACTTTTGTGTTACTATACAAGATGTAGGATATCACAGTTGCACAAAAGTTCAGGATTTCTGTCTTATCTCCTTGAATTAGTGAAAGTGTATGTTGGGGTTTAAAGGTTTCTCAGAGAAGAGATTTTAAGTTGTAGTTTCTGAGTGAAAGTACGAAAAGAAGAAATATGATTTAACACAAAGTAATATGGTGATTTTGATCCTTAAGAGGAATTTATATCATCAAGTTTTAGTGATTTTTAGTATACTTGGATTTCCTGGGGGATTAATTAATTAATTAATCTGAATACCTAGTTAGGTATTTTCAGAGTTTTTTTGGTTATATAAAACTAAGTATTTTGTATCATGAAGTTTTAAAAATATTGTTGCCTTATTTAATGAATGTTAATCTATTTGGCTGTTTCTTTAAACTTGTGGGAGGTAATCAGAAAAGAAAAGAAATAATTATTGGGGAAAGAGGCAGTTTTGTATTTAATTTTTCTTTACGAAGAGGCTAGAATGTTATTTAAAAATTCATACAAACTATGATGTAAAATACTAGTAGACATTTAATGATTTTTAAAAATTGAAATTATATTTTTATTGTTATAACTTTTATTGATAGTTTCAGCTATCATACTGTGATACTAAAATGGTATCATCCCATTGGTGCCTATGTATTTTCTACTTTTTCTAATTATTTGCATGGTGTTTTTTGGTGGGAGAGGAAATGGGAGGGAGAAAAGAGGAAGAATGAAAAGTGATAATCCCAGCACGGAAAAACACATTTTAAAAAATTCATGTCAATGAACTTTCGGATAATAAGATTTAAGGATGTAATATAGTTTATTTATTACTATGTTAAGATAATTTTTCTAGTCCCAATATTTATTGACTTTTAATTTGTAGGTCTTTAGGTGTATTAGACATTTAAATAAGTCCTCAAAGAGCATAAAATCTGTACCATTTAAAATGTTTGCCATTACAAAAATAAATACTTAAAATATGAAATTGATTAGAATATATAATTTGCTCTACCATATAAACAAATTTTTAACACTTATATTATTGATTCCAGAATTATGATTTCCTGAAATCCTAAGTTTATAGAGACACTTTCCTTTTAAATAGGTTGTACATTACTGTGACTAAAGCTAAGATTTATATTCAGGCAATGTGCTTTCTTAACTGTTTTTATATAGTAGCCATACAACACCTTAAAAAGAAAATCATTCTGTTATCTTTGACTATGACTCAATATTTAAGAAATATATTTACTCATAACATTTTTGTTGGGGCAGATATTCATATAAATCAAATTATGGCACATTGAATTGTGTATGAAATATAAACTTTTTTTAAAGGACTCCTGCTAATTTATTTTTAGAGATGATATAGTCTTAGTTGTACTATACATAAACATCCTATAGTTTAGGAACTTTTAGGCATCAGAGTTCTTTAAGGAAGAGAATTCTTAATAGATCATTTTAAAAGTTCAAACTTAAATTTACTGGTTTTTCTGTTGACCATATTAAATATGCTATTATGGGTAATAAATATATTTAATTCATTTTAAACTGCATATGGAGTTATAAAATATTGGTCACATCTTTGTTGAAAACAGGAAAAGGAAATGAATATATATGACTTTTATATCTGTTTTGAGTGCTATTTGATTTGTGGCAGTCATAATAGAGTTTGAAATGTAAAATATTTAAGAGTATGGATATTTACAAGTTAAACATTGAGTTTTTAACATTAATAGGGTTTTATAAGAATATGAGGTGAAAATGTACTTTTTATTCCACATATTTAAATTTTTACTATATAAGGTAAGACTATTTCAATTTGTTTTAAAAGATAAAGTTAATGCTCTAAAAATCGTTTTTATAATTTATGAAATTCAACTTGTACTTTGCCTTTTGAATATCTTTCATTCAAATAAAAATTATTGCACGTTGAGGATAATAATAATGACAGCAACATAGATAAGGACCTTTACTAATTTTGTGTTGTGCACATGTGTGCATGGCATGTAAGAAAAAGGAGCATTTGGTTTGAAGATAATTCTTGCATTGGTACTTCAGCTATGTATAGGCATAATTGTGTGTTTTTTCCTGTTTTTTCCTCTTAACACTTTTCCATAAACATGTACTCATTAATCAAAGACAGTGCACTCCTGCTGAGGGCAGAGAGGTTCATCAAATTGGCAGTCAGTTTGGTGTAAAGAACAGTGTACTGAAGCTCTTAACTTGCTAGGACATAAATAAATCTAAGGTCTTTATATGCAAACCCTAGAGGTTAATACTGTATAATTCAATGTCCTGTCTTTGTTTTTATGATTGATGTTTTTAAATGTTTCAAGCTTGGTGAAAGTCTTCTAGTAGGTCAGGTCTGATT